CAGTGTTACGACAGTGGAAGTCACATGACGCTGGTAACACGTAATGTGATTCTAGAAGGATCGGGGAACCTCATGAACATCCCAGCATTTGCTAGACGCCCTCTATTTTTAGTATATAAGCTGGCAGATAAATTGATAACGGGATAATTGAGTCAATCCGTAATTAAAGTGTGTAAATCATTGTGAATTATAGCGTGTGTTTAAGTTAAATTGAATGTGGAAATTCTGTGTATTGCAAAGTTGTATTGAGAAAGAATAAACTAGTTTTATTTAAGAAAGGACTTATATCACTGAAATTCCTCGGGAAGAATTTTTACGAGAAATTAACAAACAACCAGAGACGTAACAGTAGTTTCCCGCTACAATTTGAAGTCATTGTATGAAAAAAAAAAGTAATTTTGATTTAATTAGATTTTTATTGGTGGTTATGATGTCCGTCAAATTGACCAACCTTGTATAGAGTTAGGGTAGGGAAAATAACAGATAAATTATTAAGTTTTACTGAAAACAAATGCTGAAATGTATTTAGGAGGTTCTAGAGATTACATCAATGAAATTTGAGATTTTTGAAGTAAAGAAAAGTATTTTTAATCTTAACATGGAAATCACATTGATTTCGGACTGATCAAAAAAGACTATGTTCATGGACAAATTTTTAGTAAAAATATTTCATTGAAAAACTGATTTTTTGTGTACAAATGACTTGTAGTGTGTACAAAAAGCCTACCAAATTTTGTGAAGCACATACTGTATAAAAAGTTGTAGTATTAAAACTGCATTCAAGGAAAAATAATGACATGGTTGATCCATGGGACCAAGCCAGTATTGATTAAGTTTGTAAATGGCTCACTGCTAAATGAGCAGTGCATGTACTGGACCTACGAAGTCTAGTCTAGTTAGCTGGGCTGTGTGCACCAACCGAGTGCATTTCAAATATCATGAACAGACTACTCCAAACTGTTTGTGTATGCAATATGCACATGACAAAGTGTGAAAATGCTGTATGTGCCATTTGGCAGGAATTTCTAACAAATGAACATCAGCTTTGGCTTTGGTATATTAAAGTAAAATGTTACGGCACTTTCACTGTGTTGTGGGAGGTCTCGAGGACAACATGGAAGAGAAAGGGATGATTCACATTTTATTCTAAGCAAAGAGGAAAGTGATTCGCAACTAAAGTTGTTTTGATTCACAAATTACAATGAGAACCTGGATATTTTGCCCCCTGCAACAGATACAGTGCCCTGCCCCTGTAAACTGTTATTTCATGCCAGATTCTATTTATATTTAATATTGTGATTAGGTACTAACTTGTTTAACAGTACTTTTAGCATGCTCCAGTGTGTATCATTCTAATATATTGTTGTAGTCTTGTAATCTTTTCAGCTACTACCATATTAAATCTGTTTTATAAGCTTCAATGCTTAAAGATTCTCAAAAGATGTAAACTAAAACATACAGGTAAAATATAAAAAGCATTTCTCTGAAATTGTTTGTTGTCTTGTTTGAAAATAAACATACATTTAAAGTGAATAAAGTATCAAGTCGGAAAAGCTACTAAGTTTTGGTCTAAAGTGTAAAATGTTTTCACATTAGTAACACTTTCATTGTATTATTTTATGGTAAATTTCAGCCAGAAAGATACCTATACAATATTTCATCTAAAAATAACTTCCCAAATCTATATTCAACATATTTTCCTAAAAATCCTGGTTTTCTCCTATATTAAGATCCTGTAATCTGTCTACTTGTTCAGATAGTAATCTGAAAGTTTTGTGTCTTTGTTCTTGTAAATTATCCCTGTGAAATTGAAGATTTCAAGCACTCAGCCTGGTAAATTATACTATGCATGGTAATGCCAATAGGTTAGGTGTTTTTATATGATGAAATTTTTCTTTTGATTCTTACTGCAGCTACTTTTCTTGAATATCACTATAGAAATGTCTTGCAAGATACACAAACAAATCTTCTTGGATGGAAGTCATCAGATTTTTAACTACATAAGAGCTAGAGTGCGATCCATTTACAGTATTCAACAGATTCTATCAGCTGTACTGGAAGTTTTATGTGGAAGCAAATGGTTGAGTTGTAAAATATTCTGACAATGGCTAGTGGTGGATTTAATGCTGAAGGTAAGACTTTATTTTTTCTTTAAGTATTTACTTACAATCTTTAGAAATATTTTAGAGGAGGCAGTAATATATGCAAAGAAAAGAATTTGTGGTAGGTTTTCTTTATTGTCATTAAGTGAGGCAAAGAATATTTGTGAAAGTCTTAAATTTATTAAACTTTGTATTTCAGAATTGAGTAACATCACATGAATACAATTTAGAAATATATCACCAAATGCAAAGTAGTGAAGCTTGTTTTATTGGTGATAATGCAGTTTTAAGCTCTTATAGTGTGATCATAGAAAACGTTTTGTGTTAAAGCAATGACAATCTTGCTTCTACTGTTGACATTATAGTAAAGACCATGGACAGATGGTAGAAATGTTGATTAACACTTCAGTAATCTCTGACAGTCTTATTGCCTTAATTGAGAACACATAATTTCTGAGGTAAGAAGTTGATGAAGTAACCGCATTTAAGATTTTGTTACCTGGTTATCTTTCTGCTTATTACAGTACACATTCACATACAAACTAAACATAATTATTTTTATTTCTGATTTATGAACATTGTAAATGACTGTGGATTACTAAAAAAAAACTTGGTTTTTCAGTTGAACTTTTGTTTTTGGTTTGAATGTGTGTTTGTATCTGTCTCTTATCCTTCTACACTAAAGTATAGCATACCTGAATACTGTGGACAAGAACATTTCATCAAAAAGTTGCCACTTTTTGTTATGAAAAGTTTTTTTAGTATTGTTAACAGATGACTTGCAGTTTATTAGCTTGGATAACAGGTTACTTTGTTTATTAGTTCAGTTAACAAGTTACTTACAGTACAATTAGTTAAGTTAATTTATTACTTGCAGTTTCCTATTTAATAGTTGTATACAGTTTATTAATTCATTTGTCAGATTATTTACAATTTATTAGCAAACATTTATTTGTGTGTCACACATGGCATTTATTTCACTGAATTTGAAAATTAAGAAAATTGGTTTCACTTTGAAAGGAATGGAAGGTTTCTACAGATTAAATTTTTTTACATTTTTCTATTCTCAAATGACTTCAATTTGGTGAAAAAAGGGTAATTTAAAAAAAATAGTTTGACAAGCTTACCCCTGTGATATGTCTGGTGCTTATGACAATCAGAGTTTAGTAAATTAGACAATAGCAAGGGAGAAAGTTGAAATGGCTGTCAAACTCATAAAAAATTAATATGAATAAATTAAGGGGTCTTAGAATCTTTCTGGGGCATACCCAAGAATCCAGTTTCATGGTGATTAGAGGTTAAAAAGCTAGAATTTTTTTGGTCATAGACAAACAGAAATACAGGCATAAGTCACTTTATAGTATACATTAATTCATTTAATAATGCACTTACAGTTTATGAGTTCATTAAGTTAGAAAACTGCTTACATGATTAGTTTAATTAGCAGATTAGTTTATATTTGTTGTAATATTCGATTCCAGGCATTCCTAGTGGAATGGAGCAATCTCAAACACCATCAGAAAGGCTGCCTGGAAGACTTTTAACACAAGAACTGGAGTTATGGAGCATGCTTACGGATGAGAGGCTACGTAGTGAACAACATAAGATGAATTACCAAGCTCTAAAGTCTGAACACACAAGGTAACTCTTAAGCTGAACCATTTTGTAGACCATCAGGGCATCAAACCCCATAGCTTCACACATGACTTTGTACATTGAAGGGTAAAACTAGATTTAATGCAAAACAAAACTCAAGTTCTAACAGTGATTTCACTTAGAGCTGTGTTTTAAGGTGTTTTCTAAACATTTGAAGGTTCATCAGATGGCGTTCAAACATTGTCAGTGTTTTTCTCTTGCTAACAGAAACCTTTTGACAATATTTGAATAATAATTACACATAAGATATCATTCGTGTGGAAAATTTGATCTATTGATTTGTATAATGCCCATTACTTAAACAAAAGTTGTTTTAAAGAAACAGTATAAATTCATACACACACACATCACCAAAACATTACATACAGAGGTTCCTTCCATGCATTGGAGCAGATGATTAAGCTCAGGGGACTACATTTAGTGACTAATGCTTCAGTAAAAGGTACTGAATGTCTAGTGTCAAGACATAAGAGAACTATGAAACATAATATAAGCTAACACTAATAATTTTAATGTTTAAAAAGGAACACCAGATAACCCCCCCCCCTGAAAAGCATATGTTTAGTTACTGAACAATGCTGTTAATAAATGGTTTTGTGACTGATAACACACACTTATAACTTTTAATTGTTTTTTACAGTCCATATTTATCTTTTAATCAAATTGTTAGTGTTATTATAGTATGTTTTGCTGTTTAATTAATCAATAATCTGATGTTAAAAAGACTGACTATTAACCTGCTTGGAATGTTGACTGTTAAATAAAGGTTGGTTTTGTGTATGTTAACTGGTGTTCTTTTGATTGGCTACAAGGCTACATTAGGGTGCTTTTGCAATGGTGACTGTTAAATAAAGGTTGGTTTTGTGTAAGTCAACTGGAGTTCTTTTTATTGGCTACAAGGCTACATTAGGGTGCTTTTGCAATGGTGACTGTTAAATAAAGGTTGGTTTTGTGTAAGTCAACTGGAGTTCTTTTTATTGGCTACAAGGCTACATTAGGGTGCTTTTGCAATGCAAGTTTACTGCATGTAGCTGTATGAGCATATCACATATCATAAAGTATGTGTACATAAACAATGTGCATTTAAAAAAAAATAATATATGAAAACATTATAGTTCTATATAATGTGTATTTAAAGTGGTTTTTAGTCAAATAATAGCAGTTATTGTGAGGTTGTCAGTAATTTGTGCAAACTTGTACTATTGAAGGTTAAAACCTTCATTCAGTCGTGTGTTGTGAACCGTCTAAGGTCAAAATCTATCTGTCATTACAGACATAGGGCACATGACTTTGTACTTTGAAAGGTCAAATTAGATGTAATAGAAGTTAAAACTCAAGTTCTTGTATTAGTTTCATACATGACTATCTTTAGAAGTAAAACTAGATGAAATACAAGACAACTCGTGTTATTACAGTGGTTTTACATGCCACTTTGAACTAGATGTAATAGAAGACAAAATTCAACAAGTTCTTGCATTCAATAATTAACTTTCCATATGAGATTGGTTCAGAGGACTGATCTTATAATCACAAAATAACCATCAGAGTTTCCATGATATAACTTTTGTGTAACTTCAAAAAATTCTGCAAGCTTTCAGTAAACATTCCAAGTCTTTTTTTTACAAACAAAAAAATCAGAATTTTTAATTAATTATTTGTAATAAAGACTTGCTCATGAATATATGGAGTTAATGTATTGACTGCTCTAAGTACAAAGTGATTTTTATGTTAAAATTGAAACTACTTTTCATTATCTAAAAATTTTCAGATTTCATTTGCATAACCTCTAAAATCTAAATAAAAATCAAATTTTTTTTTTAGTAAATTATTATAATTTATCTGATATTTTCTCTACCCTAACTCTATATGGACTTGGTTGGTTTGACCAGCCTTGTAACCACCATAATAAAATACAAAACAAATCTAAATTAACCTTTTTTAATTCTAGAATGCCCGGCATGGCCAGGTGGATAAGGCACTCGACTCACAATCTGAGGGTCGCGGGTTCGAATCCGCATCCCACCAAACATGCTCGCCCTTTCAGCCGTGGGGGCGTTATAATGTGATGGTCAATCCCACTATTCGTTGGTAAAAGAGT